AAAAAAAAAAAAAAAAACAGAAGTAGAGGTAAAAATGAATGAAAACTGTTTTAGATTTTTTTACATCAATAGATTATCTCAAAATGATTGGGTAATTAATCACTTTTTCCTATCTGTGAAACAAGTAACAAGTACTAAGCATAGTTTTTCCTTGAATGCTGAACTCCTTACCTCAACTATGCAGATAAGCCCATTATCTAAGGCTTAATACACAGGAGCTAATTTGTACAATTTCTGCTGAATAGAGCCTTAATGCAGGTTAAGGGTTAATGGCCAAGACAATTCTATTCCAAATATTCATGCCAACTGGCTCTTATCTCCTTTAGCCTGGCAGATTGACATAGCCATTCATGAAAATAAACAATATGCCAGAAATATTTACCAGGAGGTAAGGGTTCAAAGGAAACAGAGTATTTTAAATGAAAGCCTTAAGACAAAAAAAAGTTAAGTACTGCGAAAGTATTGCAAATATGTTAGGTGAAAACGTATATATATAAAAAAAATTCCAACAAGCAACAGAAAGTATGAACTGTCATGAAACAAAGCAATGTACATCTTAAAAAATATTTTACTGAAAGTATGTAAAATCATACTATCCAGAACATAAACAATTTTTAGTACCTATATCTGTACAAATTATCAAAGCAAGGACAGAAACAAGTATAATGTAATTAATTCTATAAAATTCATTTCCTGGTTACACAGCATAAAGAGTTTATGATCTTGATCCTGGGAATTTTCATAAGTAAAGCAAAGAGGGTATAACAATTCTCATCTAAATCTGAATAATATCCATATCTAACTAGGAGGGAAATAGACAAAATGGTTTTCAAAGACGAATGTGTTTCCCATACCGAAGAAATCAAGGCAGTTTGAAAATGACACATAAAACCATGAAAAAGACACAGAGCATAGCATCCAGCAGATCATTCCTGAGTTACAAAGTAAGTCTTGCTTCTCACAACACAGGAGCTGCGTGGCCAGGAACAAGCCACTTAATCCATTCGTGATTGGGTTCCACTATCTCCAAAGGAGACGGTTTGCAGTCTCAAATCTGACTTCAAGGAAGACCAGGAAATGAAGTATCATGTCTGCAATGTTTCTATAACTTGTAAGAAAATATTCAGACTCATCTAACTGTATGTCAGAAGGATACTCAGATCCAGCATTCACTGACACGCAGATGAGGACAGCCTCATGGTCTGTGTCATAACTGCATTTCTACCCAAAGAAGGCAAGAGGGCCCTCCCACAGAGCATCCTGGGAAGGAAATCATCCTCTCACAGTTTTGGTTCCAGTGCTCAGGGGAAATGAACATGAACATCCCAAACAGTCATAGCAACAAGTTCTGTTCTAGACAGAATAATCTCAGGAGCCTTTACATCTGTGTGGGTCCAGCACCAAACTTTTAGATTTGGTTTGGCGTCCTCGCATTAAATGTGACTTGAGTGATATCTTACTATCTAAGCTTTTTTCACAGTGCTCAGACTTGAGCCAACATATTACTGAATTTTCACAAAACCAAACATTTTTACAAAATAAGTATCTGGAGAGTTTTGTGAGATTAAGCAGCTACTCTGCAAAATCCAAAATAAATAATGTATCTATTAACAAATATTCCTACACCTAAGATAATATGAATAATAATCATTAAAAATACAATTTTGCATTTATCAGGACAAACTAGGTTTTCAATAAAAATGTTATTCATACCTATACAGGATTCCCTATAGAAGAAATGAGGTATCTATAAGAAAAGTAATGTGGCTAAGTATTACTACCAAGTTTACCAGTAGTAATGAAAGTCTAATTATACACTGCTCAATCAATACACATGAATAAACATACCACAGTCAGTATTCACAAGCCAAAAATGTGATTACATCTTACCTTTAAATGTGACAAACAGTTCTGTAGGAAAATATGCCAGTTATTTAAAAAAAACTGTTTCTGACTGACACATAAAAGGCAGGTGATTAATGGATATAAAGCCTACAGAAGGGAAAAGAGAGAGTAAACGTTTTTCATGAAAGAGAACTGGACTTGTAGATTACATTTCATTTATTCTTATAAACAAACAAAAAGCAAAAGATATTTTATGCAGTTTTACCATTTGTAATAAGAAATATGGTCTCACAGAAAAATCTGAGACAGATAAAATGCCAGTGTTCCATGAGAAATGTCCTAGCCTTATCACTCCTCCTGGGTTGGAACACGCTGTTGTTTCTCCCTGGATTCCTTAGTCCCTCACACATGCACAGCGGTTATGGACGCTGGGATCAGTGGACAGACTGGCATGAAAGTGTCAGCTTCCCATGTACCAAGTGCAGGGCTTCAGGGAGACTACATTAAGTGTTCTAAGCCTCCCGTTCCAAACATGTCAAATGGACATCACTCATTGCAAATACCCTAGAAGGCTTAAAGTAAAACAAAGAATGCAAGGTTCTGAGTTCAATGCCTGTCAAAATCAGTGTTCAACACTACAACAGCTGTACTTTAGATGGTCAAATATTTGCCCAATTCTCCAAGCTTTCTCCAAGCTACATAAAAGTTATGTGAAGTGGATGCTTAAGGGAAAAAAATGCCTTCAGTCTCTGAACAGAAAAAAATGGTTGCTAAAAAATTGGACACTTTAGATAGAATACATTCTATTATAATGTAAAATAAAGTAATTTATGGTTTAATAGGAGAATACATTCAATATTTCCCATAATGTATAATAACTTCAAGTGCTAGTCAAGACATGTAAATAGTCATGTGCCTCAAAATGATGTTTTGGTCAACTACAGATCGCACATGCGATGGTGGTCCCCTAAGATTATAATATCATATTTTTACTGTACCTCTTCTATGTTTAGATACACAAATATCTACCCTTGTGCTACATGTGCCTGTCATATGCTGTGCACATTTGTAGCAAAGGAGTCATAGGCCAGACCACACAGCCCAAGGGTGTTTGCCTACACACTCAACGATATTCACACAACAGTGAAATTGCCTTATGATGTGTTTTTCAGAATGCAGCCCCATCATTAAGTGATGCATGACTACCCAGAAGGAGGCCTGACTAACTCATTCCCTGCTCAGTGAGTGCAATTAAGAAAACTGGAGAGTTTAAAAAGAAGCAGAAGAAAAATACATATGTAAATTGTGCCCTTGTATTATATTTCAGGGACATTACAGTTTCAGATTTTACAGTCCACTTAAATCTCTACTAAATTCATAAATCAATTACTAAAACTCTCAATTAAATATGCAAAGGTTTGAAATGTTTCTTAATACCAATGAATGCTTCTTTCTGGAGCTCAGTTCAAAAGTAGTCTGATAAAGCATCTCCACAAAATTTTTCAAACAGGGAACATTCACTTCATTTTTAACAGCCTAGTAGAAAGAGAACACAAACAAAGAAAATGGTTACAAACATCTGACTGAACTAGACGTGGATGAAAAGAACTTTCTGTAAGGTCTGAAATTAGTTAATCACTTGCTGAGGTGCTTGTTGAAATATTCTAATGTGCCAAGTGACCAAACGGTAATTACATAAGATAAACCTGGTCCCTGCCTGGAACGAACAAGGTGGAAGGGAGTACAGGCAGGTGACCAGGTCAAGTGCACGGAGTGACAGGTGCACGTCTTCTGCACTCCTGGAGCTCCCGGAAGGACCCGCTGGGAGATTTCACATGGAAGTCACACCCAGGCTGGATCCTGCATCTGTTACAACTACACCTCTCTGGCCTGTCCCACTGCTGTACCCCAGACACCACTGGACCAGGCTACACCAGCTTCCTTGCTGCTCCGAGAACATATCAAAGTAGGCTCTGCAGTGGGATATCTATGCTTCGTCCTTCCCACCTCCCCACCCAAGGACAGCAAGTCTCTCTCCCAATTCCTTTAGTTTTCACTCAACTGTCACCACCTCCTTCAAGATGGCAGTCTTTCCTAATCACGTACTATTGAAAACTTCAAGTACCCCACCCCTCCGGCAATCCTTGTCCCTTCACCCTGTACATATCTCTTCACAGCATTTCCCACAATCTGACATATTTGATGTCAGATATTTGATGTACTTGAGGATTTTCTATCCTCTGCACTGGAAGTAAGCTCTATGACAGCAGGTCAGCAAGTGTCTTTCCTATGCTATTTACTGTCATATTTCTGCATAGATGAGGATCTGACATACAGGAAGCACTACTCAGTATAGATGATGATGAAATAAAAGCTGGGCATGGTGGTGCCTGACTGTAGTTCTGGCTATGTGGGAGGCTGAGGTGGGAAGAGCACTTGAGCTCAGGAGTATAAGGCTGCAATGAGCTATGATCGCACCACTGTACCCTAGCCTGGGTGACAGTGTGAGACCCTGTCTCTAAGAAAGTAAGAAGAGAAAAGAGAAGAAAAGAGAAGTATGGCCAGCCAGTCACAGAGGGAAGGGAGGTGAAAGGAGAAGCATGAACATTCCAGTAGATGGAGCTGCAGGTGCAGAAGCCTGGGGTTGAGGCCTGGTTAATGGGTCAAATTGTGTCCCTTCAAAACCCTCATGCCGAAGCCCTAACCCCACACACTTCCAAATGTGGCTGTATCACAGATCTCACTAATTAAACTTAGGGTTAGGGGAATCCTAATACAACATGACTGGTGTCCTTAAAAGGGGAGATTTGGACTCAGACACACACACCAGGAGCACAGCATGTGAAATGAAGCCAGGGGCAGGATGATGCTTCTACCAGCCAAGAGACCCAGAGATTTCCAGGAAACCAAAGAGGTGAAGCAGGTGGGTGGGACAGGTGCTTCCTTCAGCCCATGGAGGGAGCTCCCTGCTGACACTCGGGGTTCCCCCTTCCAGCCTTGGCTGTGAGACAAGACATTGCTGTGCTGAAGCCACCCAGTCTGTGGCAGCCCTAGCAGACTAATAAACCTGCACACAAACTCAGCCTGTAATCCTGCGCTTTGGGAGGCTGAGGTGATTGGATTGCCTGAGCCCGTGGGTTCAACACCCGCCTGGGCAACTTGGCGAGACCTCATCTCTACAATAAATCAAAAATGAGCCAGGCGTGGTAGCAAGCACCTGTAGTTCCAGCTACTTGGAAGGCTGAGGCGGAAGGATCGCTGGAGCCCAGCAGGTCGAGGCTGCGGTGGCCGGGAGCAGCCACTGTACTCCAGAGTGAGACTCCAACTCAAAAAAAAAAAATGCAAAAGTGATATAAACAGAGAATCAGGCAACACAGTGAGAAGGGACTGTGGTCAAGAGTTCTCCTTCCTACAAGCTACTCTTTTTGATAAATCCCCTTAAAACTGAGACCTACAAATGCCAGTTAGATAGCGGGCAAAAGCTGTTGATCAGACAAGGGAAAAAGTACAAAGGATGGTTTGGGACAGAGAAGCAGTAATTCAAGCCATTTCTAGAAAGAGAAATCAAAGCCCATGTACTCACAATAATAAACTAGGACTGACATGGGTTATACATGCCAGGTAGGAGGCTGGGCTGACTCAAAGAAACTACCACAACCTTTAATTTATGACTCATGTTTGTCTCCATTAAGAAAAAACTTCAATAATTAAATATAAGTCAATATGCAAGACAGGATAAAACAATACATGCCCATCACATTCATTGATTATCTGAAGCTTTTCTTACAATCATCCATTCACGTTTTCCAAACACACGCTCAAAGCAGGGCCTGAATGCCACACACCAACCCATACAAACACCCAGGTCGCAGTCAGTGAACTCATTGTCTAAATATGAAAGCTAAAACAATTCCATTCCTCAGCATGTGATACACTTCTTCAGTTTTTGAAATGTTAACTACAATAAAACCTGAATTAAAATGATATAATTAGTTTCCATTTCTAGCCAAGATGGAATTAGAGTGGCTGGATTTACCCTCCCATCTGAAACAAACAACCAACAAACGCAACATCTGGAGGGATCTGCAAAACACAAGAAAGTGACCCCAGGCCCAGGAAAAACCTAAGGTGGCTATCCACACACCCCATCCCCCACAGCCACGCGAGAGTTTTCAAAGAAATGGCAGTCTAAGGCTATAATGGGAGTAGCAGGAAAAGAAGATATACTTACAGCAGCTACAGGGATAAGAATCTCCACAAACAAACCAGCAAGTGCATGTTTTATATCTTTATCTTTTACTTCTAAGAAATACTGAGCACATTCCTTGAAGGGAGAAAGGATATATGTAGATTAACAACAGAGGAAAGGCTAAAGAATTTATATTATCACAAAACTCTTGCCATTTTACCAAAAATGAAGGCTAGTGCATCTTTAAATCAGGTTAAGCCACACTTGTGACTTGGAATAAATTAACAATGATGCAGTGAATTTATATAAAAAGTCATGAAGGGCCAGAAGGCCAGGCTCATTCTAGTTACCACCACCGAGAAGGCATATCACCTGCATAAACTGAAATGATGCTTCAAAGTCTTCCACAGGGTACATTTTGACTCGGAAAAACTTCATCCCCATGATCAGGCTGATGGCACTCTGCACCACATGGGGGCTTTGCTCTTTCTGTCGCAGCTCCTTTAACTCGGTCACAAACTTCTTCCTCACAGCCTGGAACCTTGAACACATGTGAAGACATAATCAGGTTTACACCAAAGACATTTATTTCCACACGATGTCTCAGGGCGAAACCACAAGGTGCATGTTGTGATTCTAAATTTACTGTTCATTTATTTTAAAGTTAGAAGTTCCTGATGGGAAACTAATGGAATTTCTTTATTCCTATATTATCATGAATGCAGTACCATTACTATTTAATTCATAAACATAATACATTAATAACAAATAACTTGCCCATAAAACAACTCCATGTACATCAGAGAGCGTGTAAAAACTTGGAGGGCTCTTTACTATAATGTCTGTAATGAGAGTTACATGGAGAGCAGATTGGAGACTCCAAATCTGTTTAAAGAGACATACCAACCAATTGTGGGAGTATGAATTACCCCTTAAAACCAGTATCTCATTACAGTGTAGACAACTGAAGGAGACACTGGTCTCACACTGTGAATAAGCTACAAAATCAAAAGGCTTTTGAAATGTGAGCACCATCCTGGGTTCACCACAGTTGCTAAGGCTAGTCAGTGTTTCTTTGCCTACAATTGAAAAAGATATTGAATAGTTTACTAATCAGTAATGCTCAATTATCTACCTCCTATATATTATGAAACTACTAAAGATTTTATTGGTAGGTCAGGCGCAGTGATTCATGCCTGTAATCCCAACACTTTGAGAAGCCAAGGCAGGAGGATTGCTTGAGCCCAGGAATTTGAGACCAGCCCAGGCAACAAGACCTCATCTCTACAAAAAAATTAAAAAATTAGCCAGATGTGGTGGTGCATGCCTGTAATCCCAGATTATCAGGAGGCTGAGGTGGGAGGATCCCTTGAGCCCAGCAGGTCAAGGCTGTGGTGAGCCATAATCATGCCACTGCACTCCAGCCTGGGTGACTGAGTAAAGCCCTAGCTTAAAAAACAAACAAACAAACAAACAAACAGATTTTATTGTTAATGTTACTTGGGGAAACCAGTTCCTGAAAGTTACTGTTAATCTCAAATGAAGCAGACTTTCCAATGGTCACTGACCATTACATGTGAATCTAGGAGAAGAATACCATTTCACTTAAAAGTATTCTCTAGCATTTCATTAAGAAAATCTGTATAAAGTGGATGAAAATCTTTGCATTGAAATACTATTAGAATCCAAGGGTATTTTATTTCATTGAACTTCCCATAAAAATTATTTGTCATTACAATCCAAGACAAATAATTAGACAAGATTTAAACACTTAGACAAGATTTAAACACACCCAGCCTTTCTCCATCTCCCCTGGGTCTAGCCCCACTCCACTTGCCTGTCCTTGGGTGCCATCTGCCTCCAAAATGGCTCAGTCCACATCTCTATCTACACTAGTTAGGCACATGCACAGACGGCATCTCAGTACTGCTCTGCAGTGGTACTTTTCTTGCAACAATATCGGAGGCTGAGTTTATGGGGTCTACTATCTGCACCACTGAGACTTAATTTGGCCATGACGTAGCTTCTCCTGGATCCAATTTGCTAATGTAATATCTAGAATTTCTGTTCTATATTTCTGAGATAGAAACTCATACATAACCAAATAAAAATAACATGAACTACTATGCCATAAAGAGAACTAGATCATTGATCATTTCTGTGTGTGTGTGCTTATATCCTGAATTAGGGATTCATTATTGATTCGCGAGATATTAAGATATTATTATAGGCCAGGAATGGTACCTCACACCAGTAATCCCAGCAAGGAAGCTGAAGTAGGAAGACTGCTTGAGTCCAGGAGTTTGAGACTAGCCTGGGCAACATAGCAAGAACCTGTCTCTTAAATTTAAAAAAAAAAAAATGATAGTATTGTCTATGTCTAAGTAATTTAAAATACTAAGCACTATAACATTAATTATAGTACTAGGGTACCTAGTGTCTTACAAAAGATTAAAGAAAACATATTAGAATGCTAACTACTAAACATTAACAATAATCGTGCTTGCCTTCTTAAAATTTAGAAAGGTTATTATGATGATTTCAGACTCTAAAAAGCATCCAAGAGGCTGGGCTTGGTGGCTCAGCCTGTAATCCTGCACTTTGGGAGACTGAGGTGAGTGGATTGCTGAGCCCACGGGTTTGAGACCCGCCTGGGCAACTTGGCGAGACCTCATCTCTACAATAAATCAAAAA